TATATTATGATTATATAATTATATATTATATATTATATATATATATATATATATATATATATATATGTATATATAATATGCATATGTATCTATGAACAGCTATACTGATGTTTAAGTATTTCTGTTTTCGAAGATCTATAGTCTCGTAAAAATAAGAGCTTAGATGTCTAAACCCAAAAGGTGTGTTTTTCTGTTTTGTATTAGGTTTTGTAGAGTGTTACTAATGAATTTACGCTGGTGCACATTGCGCCAATTATCAATTCGTTCATGATACTTTTTTTAATGCAGATTTGGATTTTATATTGATAGTAGTTGTTTGCTTCATGTCATCATTTTTGTAGTCATATCCGTTTTTTGTGTATTTGAGGTGACTATACCAACTTGTAGTGCTCTATCGCTAACTTTAACATAGTTGGCATCCCTCTAGTTTCTCCTCAAGTTAACTACATAAACCACAACTTGGAGGGTACGCCAGTGTAGATATCTACTTGTTGCCTTTATATTTTTCACAAATGTATATCACAAGTGTCAAGTGTACATTTCTGAAGGGTGATCCCTGCGCACTCGACAAACTTCATACGCCATTCGAATTTTTTTTGTTTGTTCGCATGAATTCTCTTGATATTGTTTTACCACATGACCTGGTCGTACAGAGGTAGTCGATGTTCTACTCTGTCATCATGAATTTCTATTCGGACCATTGTGTTTACGGGTATGCGATGCAAATCGTACTATTCTCAGGAGCAACTATAATATTGAATGGCACTAATAACGTTGTCATTGTCTCGATTTGGAATCATTTTTCTTGGAAATTATATGCTGCTGATTAGTGATATTAAATCATATAGGGCATACAATTAAAAATTGAAAGGTTCTTCTAATCTCAAATCGCTTTCCCTACACCTAGTCTAAGTCTTTATTCTCATTTCGATGCACTTGACACCCGGGTACCTCCCTCTGATGGCGTCTCCATAGACATCCCGGCTATCGACTCGATCCACAAACGATCCCCACCAACCCGTCGTTTCAGCAATTCGTGCGAGACCAGGCCCAGAATGATACAGCAATCATCCAGGGGCGGCTCAAGTGATGACGTAGTCAAGTGTGTGACAAATAGCCTGTGTGAAGATGATTTCTCCTTGCCCTCACAGCCTCAGACGTTATCAGCCTATCCGTCTAGGCTGCATGCTCCCGCTGTACGCGCACGCAGTTGCAGTGAATCCTTGGCTCGAGGTACCGGTCGTCCGCAAGCAGGCACGGGGTCTATGGAAAGCTTCGCATACGTCAGCAAGGGAGGGAGACTAACACCGCAAGTCGGTCGACCTTCAGCCTCGCTGGCTGGGCGCACTGAATCGGCCACGTTGATGGAGGGATCCTGTGTATCGGAAGACGGGACGAGGAGATGCTCATCAAAGTATGTAGTGCTTGGAATTTATGTGCTCAGTGTTTGAGATGTATACTGTGTGCGAAGTGCTACAAGCGTGTCTGAGTTATGTGGTATGTGGTGCCCAAGGTACTATAAGTGTGGATGGACTGGCCAGTGAAGGATGCGTTATTATTAGACAGCAAACTTTATACAGAGATTCCTAAACAACCCAAAAATGCCCATTGAAAAATTGAACTACTGAAACTTTCGGCCTTTCCAACAAGAATGCATCCTGAACATGTCTCGCCAATACAAATTCCTTATCTACATACTACTGCTTCATCACTATCTTGCCAATACAACTTCCTTATCTACATACTACTGCATCATCACTATCTTGTCAATACAACTTTTTTATCTACATACTACTGCATCATCACTATCTTGCCAATACAACTTCCTTATCCACAGACTACTGCATCATCACTTTCTTGTACCGAACCTTAATGTAGTATTTTTTGGACACTCAAAACGCTCATTGTCCATAAGCCGTCTCGCAATCGCATTGGCAGATTCATACCATCCATGCTCGGGCACATTTCACAGCAATCCTTTCCTTCTACAATAGGACGGAGTCGCTGCTCAGGCCGGAATATCAGTCCAACAACCCTTTTGTACTGCTTAAGTATATCTACAAAACTCGTCAAATCACAGGCCATGAGTACAAAGTGCTGTCGTTCTATCTATTCGTCATCTCCGTTGCCTATAACCTGATCGTCTACTGGCTAGCCTTCGCCGTCATTGTACAGAACACACAGGTCACGGATGCGAATAAGAACGTATTGGTATACGTCAGTGCGGCTGTGTTGCTTCATCTGATCCTCCAAATTTTAGTATCGGGAGGTTACTGTGTGTATAACCACAAGCGGCCTTTACCCAAGTCGCGGATGGTGATACACATGACACTGTGTACGGTCCTCGCGTTGGTAGTCCCGTGCATGACATACCTGATTATGCTATGCAACCTGCGCATAGTACAGTTCGGTTGGAAATATACACCACTGGTTGTAATGTGCATTGGCCAGTTGGTTCTTAACGTGTTAATTGGGCTGCAAGTTTGTAGGCAACGCGTTATCTATCATTTGTTTGTCGAGAGTCTTTACACGCCCACACTCAGCACACACATCTACGAGTATACCTTGGGCGCCATCCTGGTCCTGGCAGTGCTATGCCTCGTTCCCTTTGTATTTATCACACTGCATTACGGCGAAAGCGCAGCCATGTGGATTCCCTTGATCCCCTGTCTAGAGGAGTTGATCCTTGTATTCGTATTGATGTACTATACGTATATCTCGCGCAATGTCAAGGAGAGCTTCAGCGACTGGCGTGCAAACATGCGCGTGGGGGCGGTTATAACCTCCGCTACCATCCTAAATTATGTTCTCAGTGTGCATGTGCTTGCCCCAAATACACTGGATCTGGTGTCTCCCACTAATGTGGCCTATATCATACTACCTATGTACTTGACCTTGTTTACCCTTGGGGTGTGCTTGTTGGATATCTTCCTGATGATAACCCTGATCACAGCCTTTCAATTGAATATACAAGGCACGCTCGACCCGTCTCACACGGTGCTGAATGGGTGGGAGAAGGTGGTCGCCGAGGAGGATCGCAACAAGGGTACAGATAGCCTGACCATGAGCAATTGCATATTTGTGCAGAATCAGTCTAATATGAACATGGGGCGCAGAGTGAGTATGTCGTCGACCACACCCACAGTACATGAAGAGCCTCATGGGCCGGACGGTTCGGTACTAGGCCCTATCAATAGCGGGGACGGCAAGACTCTAAACCCAAGAGGACGTGCCGTTACCAGTAGTCTCGAAGCGGGAGTAAACAGGCATGGCGGGGGCGGGGATTGTGGTGAGGGTAGCTCATGTTCTAAAAATAGAATCAGAGAAGTTATAAATAGAAATAAAAGTGAGGGAGAGTGTAGATGTATGTGCCGAAATAAGGGCTCCTACTGCACCCTGAACTGTCACCAGCACTGTCACAGCTATGATGACATTATCAGAGGACCTACAAGTCGAGAGTGTGACCCGCAGCGTGTCAACGACAAATGTAAACCAACCAACGAGCAACGAAAGCCTTGTGCTGACAATGCGGCGTGTATCAGAGAGGGCTGTGTGACAGCCAACAACATCGTAAGCTCAACCAACGGTACGCCAATACACCGTGGAAGTACAACGAGTAATGGTAGCAGTTCTATGCACTCGCTTGTACGCTGTGGTGGTAAGTCGCGTAGTCAAGATGACCCGGATGGGTGTGCGGAGGCCTGTGGAGATAGCACAGCCAGCGGCCCACCCCATTCAGAGCGGTGCAAGGGTGGTGTATCGAACTCCGAATGTATGCTGAGCTACAAGGAGAGTACATCGAGTAATGGTACAATCCACTCGGTCGTGCGGATTGGCGGGTCTCAGTCGATAGAATTTATGCGCGCAGCTGACAACTCAGTGGATACCTCAGTTATCTATGAGGATCAGGAGACGACGTCTGGTGTTAGCAACCCGATGGAGCCTGTTATCTCGGACAAGGGTACGTGACAATATATAGAAGCATTGAACATGGGGCAATATACACGTCGTCACACACGTACGGCAACTCGCTTGATACCACATGCATCATAGCTTACACATAACACTGCGATATCATCCCACACGTAGCACTGTTATACATGACGGTTACCTCCACACACTTAAACTGTGCGAGTAGCTTGCGTGCGACGGCTCGAAGACTACGCATGCTCATGGCACGATTGTGACGGTATCGACGAGTGGTCAGGGTAGCGTAGATTGAGATGGATGAAGCGCACGTGGTAGGATGTAGTCGATGGACTATAAATGCACCTAACAAGTGGGATGACCTGTAAATGCACCTAACACGTGGGATGACCTGTAAATGCATCTAACACGTGGTAGGCGAGTAGTAATAGGCTCCAACAATCCTGCAATGGTGGGGCAAACGGGGCGTGGGTCATCGTGCTCTGCGTCAGCTACAACTGGGATATCACCCACAACCGTGTCAGACCCGAGGGTATATATGTCGGTGACACAACGAGATCAGTGAGGCGCATTTGTAATTGGAAACGTGTGGTAGGCCTACTGGCTGCCGCTCTACGGTTTAACACACACATTACATGTGCACATCCTCGTAGTCGCACACACGGACCGCTTCTCCTGACACCGTACACGATACACTACAAAGTGACTAGGGTGTTCGTGGCAGGGGAACGTTAGAGCTTATCCTAGGGAGTGCTTGGTGTGGAGCGTAAGAGCTTATAGTAGGGGGTGCTCAGTGTGGTATACGTAGCAATTCGCGGGACTCGCGCCTTTCATATGTGACGGTACAACTCGCTCGTCATATACGCGATATCACGCCAATCTTGGCCCATGTACCAGGACACGCTGCACCTGTCCTACTATATATTGGATCGGCGCGTTGGAGATTGGCCCAGGGTGGAATCAGCACACTTTCGCCTTTAAACGGTTTCCCAAAACAAATACATCGAGTCCAACGTGTAGCCAGGAGAACAAGCACAGAGCCACGCGTGTACTTCCACACACAGAATATCAAAAGAATAGCATGCATCATAGGGTAACAGGTTGATACAAATAGCCTATAGTTACTACGTCCTCTATATGCCCGTGAGAATGCGCAATTGGTCTCAAAAATAGGAACCAATCAAAATTTCATGGTGTTCCATGTGTTTGAGGTTACACACGTGGTAGCGCCCTGACATTCATTTAAATCCACTAGAATCTGGAGCATAATTCTCCGGTTTGAATTTAGTTGAGGACCAATGCGACTTTGGCATGTTAGAGAAAATGTGGTACTTCAGTTGTGCGTGTGTGGCCCCAATTGAGTAAGAGAGTGTGTGTAGTGTGTGATCATTAGACGCGACAAGTAGAGAAATAAAGTAACACTGCAAGCGTTGCTCACCACTTCCCCATGCCGAGCTTCCTTTGCATCGCATCGTATACATCCTATATATTTTTCGCACTCTTATATTTGTATCGGTATCTCCATAGATATATAGCGATAGGAGCACTCTGTCTTTATAAGAGATGTTTGAGCTTGACAGTGCTGGTGTCACAGAATGTTGGTCTTATGTGGCCTGATCGTTTACTTGACATCCCATTATGCCAACTAGCACATATCGGGAACTTCTTCGTTGCTGATCGAGAAGAACTATACCTTTTGTGTATGCAAATTTGTCATTTGACAAGAATGGTTTACTTGGTTCTGAGGACGGAATCGCCCCACATTGGCGTCCGAACTAACTTGAGACCACAAATATAATACAAACTTTGAGAGAAATTCTGATCGCTAAATTTTAGTATTATGAGCTGAACCAGTATGTGTGATAGCTAGGTAAGTGTTGCTAAATTGTCTTATGGGTTGTCAGATTGTCGTACGGGTTGTCAGATTTATTTATGTATGGCGTGTCAGATTGTCGTACGGATTGTCAATTTTACTAGTGGCTTGTCAGATTGTCGTACGGGTTGTGCGTGACATCTTGAGTTAATTGTGTTTCTGTACCCGCCAACCGCACGATGACCTTGTGAAAACAAGGCCGTGTCTATCGTATCCACCAGCAGTTAATCAATGAAGTTTCAAACCGTCGCCAAGCTGTGTGGATAGAGGCGGACTCGGGTGGTTCACTTGCCGTACCAATGAATTTGCCGCTTGCTGATAGCATTCGTCTTTAGGGATCATTTGTTACTTGCTCGATGTGTAGAACGATTGTCGTCGGCGCCGAACGCGTGCACATGTCGGGGAAAAAACCCAAAACTGTGATGTGTTGGCGGAAGTCGCCTAATAAACATTTATGATATTGCTCGCAGAGAGAGAGAGTTATCTATATATGGTTCTCACTTCAAAAGCACGTGTCAGGCTATTGATGCCAGTGATCATCATCGATTGACCTATTGTCTCGGGTATTGTGCAAGTAGTTCCCTTTAAACCATTAGAAGAGCTCAAGTATAACCTTTAATGAAATATCGATTATACACGAGTACAAGCCTGAAGTCGGCGGAACTTAGACATGTCACGTGTGGAATGATGAGGGGTGGGAGTTTTCACTGTCGGCTGCCTAAACTCATTCGAAGTCTTTATTCTGCATGCACACTCTGTGTATTTGTGTATACATGTGTATACATACATGTTCGCACACACAAACACATACACATACATTCACACTACACCAGTAGTATTCAGTACATAGCTTGCCCGTGAACTCAGCTGTGGCGATGGTGGTCATTGGGTTTGACCAGTGAGTAGTTTAAGTATCAATATAGTGAAAGCCAGCCATTAAGATTGCCATGGTCCACTCCAGCTTACATTTTTTGGAAGTATGGATCCTTTAGCCTCCTTAAACATAGCCTTCTGAATTAAACACTTAAAAAAAGATGTACACATAGGCTGTCATGCCGTAATTGATGACACTGAATTTTACCTATTTTAATAGTCTTCAAAGTAAAAACATCAACCCCACATATTCAAATATGTTTGTATATACGTAACGAGTGGTATTTTAGACGAGTGTCAACTATAACTCTGCAGAGCGTACCGTTGTTGTTGCTTTGTGTTATGTTGTGGCCTATGATGCGCAAAGTCATCGGATTGTGCCATCCGAGGACCTGAACCCTGGACTAACTTTGGAAGCACACACATATCACTTTACCTCGAGATATACACAAAGACTACTTACATACTTTTGGAATTACATGCTCACCATATATTCGTTAATTGCACCCACGGCACTCTTTCAAAGTTGCTAATATAGGCTACCTTCACGTCTGCGTTACCTTTAAGATAGTTTGACAGCATATACTATGGAGGCTCATTCCGCTCCCAGAGTTTCCGACACGCTCAGTCTAAGGCCTCAACCGAATGTGAACCGACCGCATCCCCCCATAGCACCCCACACTCCGGGTTATTCTACGAACCCTGTTGACCCACATGCGCCTACATACCCCCAGGGCATGGCTGAGTGTGGGAGGGCTGTGTCATGGATGATTGCGTCGCACTACTTTGGGTCTGAAAAAGGCAAGATACAGTAAATGTGCTGTACATGTCTTTCTCAACAAGCGATGTTGATGTGTAGGTATCTGCCTCACTGCCATGTTTGTTTATGGCCTTCGATTCCAGCGTGGATGTGAGGCACTAGACGTCTACTTGATGAATACGTATGTGTATGCTTGTATGTATTCTGAGCAGTGTATCATTATTAATGAATTAGTACGTGTTTTTGCATACCACTCTGTCTGTGAATGTATATATATTAGACAAATATTCATGGCCATGTGTGTATACAGACAAACACACACAC